TAAATAAACAAATTAGATGGCACCTAATCTGCTTCATAAGGAAAAAAGCCATTACTTGTGGTGATCGTTTGTCTACATGCTTTCATTTTACAATTATAAACAATTTTACAGACCAACTGGGTCTTTCAAACTTAATTCTCTTCTGGAAAAGCATTATGACCAAATCTTCCAAAGGAAACTGAGGATGAATGGGCAATTTATCCTTGCTTTTCAATTTATGATCCATAAAACGCATTGAGATCCCAATCCTGAGGAGAAGTAGGCTGGAAAACTTTTAGATCCACCTTGTTGGACAGTGTATTTGGTTGCACTGGTCAACTAATGCTATATGACATAAAAGTGTATAGATATTGTTGAAAGGCATACCACATCGGCAAGGACAAAATCCAGCTCCTTGGAAAAATTTTCTTTACGCCGCTCCAACTCTGCAGCAGTCTGAAAGGCAAGCAGGATTCCCAATTTTCATTACAGACGGACAATATGTCTGATAAGTGCTGCACTCAGAAGCACATAAGCTCCAAGAGAAGAACCAAGAAACAAAACTGAGTTTTCTATTCTGTATTTACCTCGTACAGCACAAAATCACTTAAAATAAGCCAAACTAAGTACCCCACAATAACAAGAACTGAGAAGATTATATTGATTTTCTAGATAGTAGGAGCAAAGCTTCAATTAGCTAGAGACTTCGGTTCTTAACATTCTTTCACTTGGGCGTCCTCAGTCTACAGTTCAGTATGGATAATGATAATGGTAGGACCAAAAGCATCACTACATTTTAATTATTTGAATTCAGCGGTGACATAACAATATCGCAGTTCATCTCCTGAGTTAACATGACTTGTCTTAAATAAACTTAAAAATAAAAGAAAACGATCAAGTTCACAGAAATTTTGGTCTCAAACCTGCAGGGAACAGTCAACTGGAAATTCATAACATGTCTTACTTGAAAATGTGGGTTTAATATTAGCTGAAAAAATAGATACACGTCCAAAATGTGAGCAATTTAGGCTAGTATGAATATTCTTTCGGTCCTTTTTTTTTCACTTTGATAGAAAAAAGTCTCATTGTATGGTTCATATTTTCATTATCAGTTGAGTCACCTATAAGACTATTCATTTTACACAGAGGACATAGCATTCTTATGATGGTGACTGATAAAATATAAACATGACGAAAGAAAGTGTCTTCGTCCTCAGAATAAGTGCCATGTAAAAGGAACATCTAACAGCATAAGAATAGGCATGAAAGACCAAAGAAAGGAGATTTAATTCAGCTAAACTGATAAGCATAGAGTTCAAAAAATCATGTCAAACATCAAACACGAATAATGTGTCTAATTAGCTGAATGCAATTAATAACATTCAGAGAAACAAACCTTAGTAAAGATCCCAACACCACACTCCATTGCAACCTTGGCCAGGAACAAATCATCCGCCAACAACCGCTCCTTAAACCCTCCAAAATTCAGCAAAAACCGGAAAAAAGCGGACTTCTCCAAATCCAAGAACCTCCCCACAATCGAACCGGGAACGCGGCCAGCCTTGATCGCCGCCGCTAAATCCTTCGGCAAACTGTCCAGCGACCTGCCCACCTCCGCAAGCACCAACAAAGCCTCTTTCTTGTTATGTTCTCTGTCCTCCTCTTCACCGTCCCCTCCTTCACTGCCACCACCTCCGCCACCACCTCCCCCTCCATGTCCAATGCTCCCGCCATCGTCCCCGGATGAAAAGATGGAGGTACTTGCCGGCAAACGGAGCAAATGGGTAGGTGAAAAAATAGGAGTTGAAAAAGTGAGATTGGAAGTGAAGAGATGAGAAGATGGTTTTGCACGGGGGGAGATGAGGGTGAGGCTTGGAAGAGACGAGTGGGTGTGATAGGAACAATGGGGTTGGGAAGGAAGAGAGAAGGAGAGGGAGGAGAGGTTGGAGAAGGAAGCGAAGGCCATCTGAAAGAGAGAAGGAAGCGAAGGTGATAGTGAGAGTCTGAGAGATTTGGGAAGCGGTATAAGCGTATTTGACTGTTGACTGTTAAAAGTGAGGGAGGGAGAGATCAGACTTGGGCGGCTTTGTTTTTGGCTTGGTGCGATCCTTGTTTGGTGGTGGAAGAAGGTGGGGGTCCTCGGCTCTGGCGACCAATCAAGCGCGCGAATGTTAACCGTCTAAACTCCCCATGGCTGTGTTCCAGCTTATTTTTGTCGACGGCAACATTATAATTTATCTAGCTTTTTTATAATTTATTATGTTTAAATTAGATTCTTATAATTTAATTTATTACACATCTTTATTATCGAGTGTAAAAACTATGGGATTAATTTATAAAATTTTACGATTTTTGCGAATTTATTCATTTTATTTAATACTGTTTTATCACCTATGAATTTCTACAAATAAAAATTTATATAATATCAAAATTATTGAATTAAATAACGAAGACGTAATTTAAGCAAAATAAGCAATAGAGACATTAAACTCTCTGAATATAAATTTTATATAATATATTTTTAATAATAATATATTGATAATTTCAGCGCTTTCATCTTTTTTTCCCCCCAAGTGGAAGTGGTTCTGTAGGGGAAGTTATTTGTGCGTCCTCATTCGGTGAAAAATTTCAGATTAGTACTCCCGACAGATTTATATAGTATTGAATCTCAATCAATCAATGCTTTTATATTTTGAGAGTTTTGAGTCCAAATATATTTAAATTAAATTTCTTATATTTATTATGTCAAAATTTACGACCATACATAATCATATGTCTTATTTTTCAGTTATTAACGTTTAATATCATTTAATTATAAACTCATATAAAAATATATAAAATACATAACTATATATAATTAGAAAAATTAATATAATGCGTCAAGTTATTGGTAAAAGTAAATAATAAGAGTAGTGGGGAAGAATTTGCTTGGGTTATAAGCCATGATCATTTTTATATAATTAACATTAACAACAAAATAACTAATAAAAAGACCTCTTCATTGAGTCTTAACACTCACTCCATTATTGAATGATTGATAAATTAGAGGCTAATACAAAATATAAAAAAGGCAAGCCAAATGTTGAGAATTAATAAAATATTAAAATGTTGTCATTTTCTAAACTAAAATTTGTACATATTAATGTTCATATTCCTTACTTGGCGCATGATTTTCCTACTGAAATATGAGATGTTTGGGCTTTGTTAGAAAATAGTGGTGAAGAGGAAAAAATATATACTGTTTCCGGTTCAAAATATAAGCTAAACTTTATCTATTACATTTATCAAAAAACTAATTAAAATCAATTTAAAACAATAAATGTGTAAGGCATATATTTGTTTTTCCTAATATATCCTTATTAATGAAGAGAATAAGTAAAAAAATGTAATAAATGAATTAAAGAAGAGAGACAATATATGGGGATAAAATTGGAAAAATTTTATTAAATATTTGGACAAAAGTGAATATTATCTTATAAAAAAATAGCCCTTTTAAAAAAGTTTAGTTTATATTTTGAATCGGAGAAACCGAGAGAGTATTATCTAAATAGCAATTATCTTAGTGAGGCTTATTCTTAATAATGACAAATATCAATTATGTAAGTCAATACGTCCAAAAATAAATAAATAAAGGTTCGACCCTCGCACTTTTGCTTAAAGTTAAAACATGCAAGTTTTATGGATCAAAACAGGCTAATAAAATACCAAAACAGCGATGAGTGATCCAGATTCCTTCCACGTGATGCGCAGAATGAGGATGTGTATGTACACACACGCGGCATATGATGTGCTTCCAATATATAGGGACAAAGTGCTTCAATGTCCTGCAAGCACACACGGCCAAGGAATACTCAGTAATTTTTTTTTAATATATATATTTTGAAAGTTTTATTTCGATATCTACAGTTAAGTTTGACCATTAAAAATACTGGTTAAATAGTACGATTTAATAATCAAATTTAATGATGGATAATTACTAAGGTATTTTTGTTATGAAAATAAATTTTTAAGATATATAAGAGCCAAAAAAAAACTGTCAAGTACTAGTGCTTCTTCATAAATACTTTCAGAATATTTAAGTACTTTGTCTCCTCTATACATATGCAAATGATTTAAATTATAATTAGATTATCTATATTTTCTAATATGAATAAATATTAAGACAAAAATACTAGCAAAATTTGAATTGGTCAATGTGAAATTTTTTATTTGTGTAATGATCAACAATATTCGAAGTAATAACATACTATCTTCGGTTTTTGATATAAGATCTCAATTTATTTTATTTTTCATATTTGTCTATTTTTCTTAAGATAATCCTTGTAGTAGTTGATTAGTAAGAGTATTTTAAGAAAGACAATATTTGTTGATTATAAAAAACTAACTCAACTAAGTTTTTTAATCTATTTAAATTAATCAACTAACTCTTATATTAAGGACTCGAGATAATATTGTTTAGGGTTCAACCATTTACATGAATGTGAATTTTTTTTATTTTTAATAAGATGTAAAAGAAGGTTGAAGTGCTAACAAAGGTTTGATAAGTTAGTAAAGAGTTGATTCATGATCCTTAAAATTACAAGTTCAAATCTTGTTACTGATTCAAGAGTCCTGTTGGCCAGCATTTGGTAAATACTTTTCCAAGCATTTTTTGTTTGGAGGTTGGTAGCTCAATTTATAAAATTTTTTTTATAAAAAAAAGAAGTTAAGGTGAAAATCAACATCGAAGAGAGAGGAAGGCTGAAGCGGCAATGAGTTGTATAACGAGTTAATTTCTGTACTTTCCTTCACTCAAAAAAATTTCTGTACTTTCCTAAATTAATTCTTGATAAAGTTAATAAAAATAGCACAAAAAATATGCATAAATAAAATCATGAATATCTGAGAATTAAAGTCAACTAACGATCTGCTGGGAGAAAGGCCAGTTAACTCTTAAAGCTGCTTTGGGCCCCCTACAATTTTTGTTTGCGCTGGCGTGCGGTGCGGGCTCTTGCCCGTAATTAAGCTCTTCGCGCCTTTGCTCCACATTTTCTCCCGCCGGCGAAGAGAGACGAAGTTAGAGAGAGAAGACAAAGAAGAGCGGCCTCGTACTCTGAATTCTGAGTAAAGGAATTTTCCAGGTAATTCTCTCTTCGTCTTTGCAGAACCCTTCTTTCGGGTTTTCTTCTCCTCTTCTTGCTCGTACCTGCTTCATTTCTACACTCAGTAATTTGTGATATGCAGTTTCTAGTCCTCGATCGCAAACCTAATTTTCTTTACTTATCTTGATTGAATCCGTCACCTTACGAGGAATGTATTTCTAATCTTCGATAACTAGACTAACTTTCTTTACATATTGATTGAATCCATCAACTTAAGAGGGAGGTACATTCCTAGATATTCTATTCCCCCCCTAATTTTCCTATTATGTCTCTCGTCTTTTGTCTGGGCGGGAATTTCTTTGCTCTTTCTTAGATATTACTTGGTCTTTCTCGCTTTTTGGTGTTCATATATTTTTTATGGCCAGAGTTGTGTTCATATACTCTTCCTTTTGATTTCCTTACCCGATTATTAGAAATTCTGTAACATTCACAACATTGTTTTTTGTTTTGTTTCATAATGATTGAATTGAAGCTTAAATATCTCACTTTCAAAATTTGATATTGATCAACATATGACTCCGTGTATCCCATTGTATTTTAAAACGGCTTCAGTCCATCTTGTTCAAACTTCAAATGCAGTATTTGTTTTATGTTCTTTGGCTTTCATCTCTTTTCTTGACAATTGCTCAAAACAAACGTCGATAAGTGCTGGACTGTACCTCCTCAAACCTATATTTACACACACGGTCAATTCAATCTCTCTGTGTAGCTTTTTTTTTTTTTTTTAAATATCTGTTGTTGTTGAGAAAACAGGAAGGGATACTGATGGAAGCAGGATCAGAATCTCAAAGATGCTATGAACAAAGACCAGAGGCTCTAGGGTTAATCCTTAGCAGAGTGTCTCTCCAAGATGGGGTGAGTGAACCTCATTTCTGTCACGAGATAGACCTTATGAAATGGAGCAACTGTCCCCAGCAGCCCGACCAACTAGATCGAATCGTCCAGATGCTCGTCACCAGAATCTCTGGTTCCATCGGCACCCTCTGTGTTTCTGGTCTCCAATCTGACTCCATCTTCACTTTAATTGCACAAAAGTATGCATATCTAACTTTGATTCTTATGTTCTTACCTAAAAGCACAAATTATATTGGTCTTTCTTTCTTATCTGGTCCTTTTCTATTATTCAAGTGCGAGCTGTCTCCGAACTCTGAGAATTCCCAAGAGCAGCTTGAGTGATTTCATGATGGAACAGCTTGCAGGAAGGCTTCCGATGATTTCTTTCTTAGATGTGAGCTACTGTATGAACTTAAGTGCCCGTGGACTTGAGGTGGTTGGAAAGAATTGCACCCTTCTGGAAGGGTTGTGCAGGAACATGTATCCATGGCACACTGGAGATCATGATGAGCCTTCAAGAGATAATGAAGCAATGGCGATTGCTTCCACAATGCCTAAACTCAAGCATCTTGAAATTGCTAGCCATTGGATGACCACAGAAGGTGTTCATAAGATACTCTGTGCTTGTTCGAAGCTTGAATATTTTGACATGTGGGGGTGTGAGAATGTAGAAGCTGGAAAATTGGGTCTGCACAAGTTCCCAAAACTCACGGTATGGGGGCCGCGTGCTTACAACTGTTTTGATGGAGGAGACAATCCATCAGAGGAAATGGATATAGAATGAACATGGTATAACTTCCATCAGAGGAAATGGAAATGGAACGTGGTATATCAAGGTATATGAGGATCTCACCCGGCAACTCATGGCTGGTGGCATGGGAAAATATTGTAATTATGAAATTAAGTTATGCCTTCTGCGGGTAAGTCAGTTAATGAGGATTCTGAAATATATTGTTCTCCATCTCCATGAGCCCTACTATATGCGCAGTCCCAACCTCTTTTAGTTTATTGATAAGCATGTATCATACCTTGATAAAGGAGAGAATAATCTTAGATGTTACAACTTTTTTTCATAAAAATGAAATTCTCATTTCCAAAATTAAGAATAAAAATTTTAAATTTCAACTGTTCAAATTAAAGTGTGATATTTGGCTAAAAAGATCTAGACCAAAATATACATTTAGTCATTTCTCTTTATATAAAGTTTTATTTTGATTTTCTAATTTTAGAAAGTATATTTTTAGTTCTTTCATTCTAAAATCATTAGTCTTGAATAATAATTTTTTGTAACAATCATAGTTATTTTGAAATTTAAACTTAATATGTTAGCATTTAAGAATGTTTTATCAATACTTAAGATCCCAATATCATCATTTTTTGTTAACAAGTTTAGGATTAAAAGACTAAAGATATACTTTTTACAATTAAGAGATTAAATTGAAATTTTATGTAGAGTTAAAGGGCTAAAACTGATTTAGCCAAAGATTTATGATATAAGCAATATACAGATCCAAAATGGTTCCCGTTAAAATGCACTATTTGGTACTCATGAGGTTTAAAATGATGCAAACTCCCGCCCCGTTGCCTCCCTCAACTTTACTTCTTGCCACCTTGTGTGCCTGATTCACCAGTAACTGCTCTGCAATTTCTGTATAAAAAGAAGTAAATCTTTCTTCTTCTTCTCACACTCTAACCACAAGCTTTTTCAATTTTTGTTGATAGAGAACAGAAGCGATGGGGATCAAGAGACGAAGGGAAGAAGAAAAGATGGAAGCAGCGTTGGAACATCGAAGGTGGGGTGAATTATCACCGGACACACTGGGGCTAATCTTTAGCAAGGTTTCGATCCAGGAGAGGGTGACGGTGATCCCCAGGGTCTGCAAATCTTGGGCCAAAGCAGTGACTCAACCTCAGTGCTGGCAAGAGATCGACCTTTTGCGATGGACCTGCCATCGCCGGTTACGTTGCTGCAGCCGGCAGACCAACTGGAAAGAATGGTCTGGATGCTCGTCACCAGAAGCCCTGGTTCCCTCCGCACCCTCGGTGTTTATGGTCTCCAATCTGAGTCCATTTTCACCTTCATTGCCGAAAAGTACGCATATTTTGCTCATCTTTTGATATGTTCATTGCTGTCTAGATTAACATATTTAACTTTTGATTTGATTCTTATGGTTTTCGATTGACATGGTTTTCTTTGAAGGTATTTTCTTAATGTTAAGACCAGAATACAAGGTGAAATGCTAAAGTTCCTCAGAATATTATGTTGTTTTCTTTCTTTTTCTTTCCTCCCCCCCCCCCCCCAAAAAAAAAATTGGGACTGATTATTTAGTCCTTCTTATATGTGTTTCCTTGGGTCATGCAAGTGCGGGCTGTCTCCGGACTCTGATAATCCCTGGGAGCAAAATCAGTGATTCCATAATTGAACAGATTGCCGGTAGTTTGTCGTCGGTTATTGTCTTAGACGTGAGTTTTGTATGAACATGGGTGCATTTGGAGTTGAGTTGATATGAAAGAACTGCAAGCTGCTGGAAAGGCTACACAGGGAGATGGATCAGTATGATACTGGAGATGAGCCTCCAAGAGACGATGAAGCTATGGCGATTGCCTTCACGATGCCCAATCTGAAGCATCTTATTATTGGTGGCCATTCAATCACCACAGAGGGTGTTTGTAAAATATTAGGAGCTTGTTCAAAGGTTGAGTACTTGAGACTCTGGCATTGCTCGAAGGTTAAAGGTGAAAGCTTGGTTCTGACGAGAAGAAATTCCCGAGACTTCCCGTATGGGGGCCAGGGGTGATCATTTAGTTATCCGAATTAACCGAGCAACCCAATATTCATACTTTCAACACCGAATCAAAACCAAACACTACAAGGTTTGGTTAAGCGACTTGTTAGGTTATTTAAGAAGGAAAAAAAATCAGATTAGACATTAACTGGTTGAGATAGTAGTTCAAGCATAGTGGGTTAGATCAGAATAAACTCAGAATTAAATCGGTTATATTAAAATAATATAATTTGGTTGAAAATAATAAAATATAACAATATTAATAATTATTAATAACAAAATATAAGGAAATACAATATTAGTATGATTGTAATGATAATAAAGTACAATAATGTTGAGAATTTTGGTTTTTATGATTTTCCAATAACTAAAATTAATAGTTATTGATATTAAAATTATTATTAAAATTTATTTAAATTTATAATACTGAAATATTAAGAGCTGAATAAAAAAAACATAAAATAGTAATATAATTATTCAAATCAATTCACACAGGTTTTTACAGGTTCACATTGGTTTAATTGGTTCAATCCAGTTTAAACTTTTGATTCATAAACCAGACCAGATTACTAACTGTTTCAACCGGTTGAACCGACTGGTCTGGTCGGGTTTTGTTTTTCTCTGTTATTTGGCAAAAATACAAGCAGTCTCAATGTCTCACGGCATGCAGATGGTTTAGAAATTTAATGCTTCATTTTTATAGATGTTTGAAAAACGACGATTAAGGAAAAAGCTGTTGAATTTAGTTCGCAATTGTAACGAGTACGTACATACAACAAATGGGGACGAATTGAAAGTTGGGGTCAATTTGTGAATATCAAGTTTGATTTTTACACATAAGTGGTTAAATTTAACTTATAAACATGCAAGTTTAACTTATGAACATGTCTGCTGAAAAAAAAAATTGCGAAGATGATATTTTTGAGACTTGTTTGTATTTAATTTCCTTATTTGGATGTGAATAAATTTTCTTTAAAAATTCTACTAATTTAATTTTTCATTTATTGAATTGATTATAGGAGTTTATTTAAATGGTTTTTTCTGCCAACTAACTAAGTTGTTTATCAAGTTGGCAAAAAAAAAAAAAACGATTGTTTATCTAACTTCGTAAAAGAAGCCGAAAAAACAAAACCCCCAGTTTTTGGGATATATGCTTGTGCTGCGTTGTTTTGGGCTAGAAATACAGGCATGCAATTCCAATTACTTCCATTTCCGCATTCTGGAACAATTATTTTGAGGCCATTTCTGCATTTTACTCTTAAAAAAAAATGCAATATACTAGTATAATTGACCATTTGTGACAACTGTTTTAACAAATATATTTTAATATTACGCAATAATTATTCTTGATTTTTATTTTGTCATAGATAATTTCCTGTTATTCATTTGTTTTTTCTTTTTGATAAAGTTCGAAATCATGAAGCTAGAATTAATTTAGAATTTTAAATAAAATGTAAAAACATAATAAAAATTAAGAAATAATTTGTATCCTAATTTTTAAAAATAGGTTATTCACAATAAATTTTATAGTTTATACCTTTTTATAAATTGATATTGATAAATAAGTGTACAAATTTTTTGAGGAGAAATTACTTTCTGATTGTATTTATTTTTGTTTTGCAGAAGCCAAATGGGTTTTCGCTAGACGATAAGGCTCCTTATCTTCTCTTATATATGGATAGTCTGCACATAGCAACAATCCCTTCCTCCTGAAACTCACTGTTCCTTCGGCCATGGCTACTTGCACCGCACCTTCATCCTTCATACTAACGCATGCTGCCTCCTCCGTCCACCCTCAAGACCTCACTCCATCGCTTCGTTGCTTTAATCCCAACCCTCTTTTTCGGACTTTCTCTTTCTATCCTTTGGTTTTAAAGTCGAAAGCAAGGAACTTTGGTAAATTTGTCGATGTGGATGCGCACAAGGAAGCTAAGTCAAGGAATTATCGTATAGTTGTGGCTGCTTTGGCCGCCGAGGCCGAGGTTGAGGTTGCCGAGAAGCCTGGAGACGAGGGTGTGGATGGTGGTGATGGGTCACCGGTAAACACTGCTGTCACGCCCAAGCCTAAGAAGGGGAAGGCTGCATTGCCTCTCAAGAGGGATAGGGTAAGTGTGAATCATTGTCTTGCTTGATGTTTGTGAATGAGTGACTTAATTGGTTAGGTTTCAATTAGCTCCGTCGAATTTCATTGCCCCTATATAGTGAATTTGTTGTACACCTCGTGTATTTCCTATTTTCCTTTTGATATCTTATAGCCAACCTCTATACTATAGTTTCTCAGTCTACATAATAGATGTTTGAAGCCAATTGTGGATAAGTTTTAGGTGAATGAACACTCATGTGGATCACTTTCGCTTGCATGTTAGTTAATTGAGGAATTGAATGTGTAAGTTCTGAAGGTCTGTAAAGGAGATCGATATTTGAGAGTAGCATCTGCGTAACACTCACAATATTGCTAAGCTAGGGTTCAAATCCAATCGTATGGTTATTGTGCTCGTGCTTGGTTTATGTGCTACATGAGTTCCTTCCTTGTAGTGACAGTCTAAATTTTCATAGAAGATTTTTTTTTTTTAAGTAGATTGAAGTAATCTTTTTGGTAATTTATTTTTTCGTACTTGTTTTCCCCCTTGCTTTATCTTAAGGTTAATTGTTGTTCTTATCGCTTACCAGACGAGATCCAAGAGGTTCTTGGAAATTCAAAAGTTGAGGGAGAATAAAAAGGAGTATGACTTAAAGACAGCAATATCTTTAGTTAAATCAACAGCGAATACGAAATTTAACGAAACAGTGGAAGCTCATTTCCGCCTCAACATTGACCCTAAGTATAATGATCAACAGTTAAGAGCAACGGTGAGATTTTATCTTTTTGCCATATAGTAGTACATTGGAGACTAGATTCATGATTTTGCAATAAATACAAAAATGTGTTACCTTCATCTACTCCATAACAGGTAAGTCTGCCTAAGGGAACCGGAAAGACTGTTAAAGTGGCTGTTCTTACTCAAGGTACATGCATGAATTGGCTATCTATATGCTTGAAATAAAGTCAACAGTTGCTTCTATGTGGGTGATGGGTCATGTGATTTTGATAATGTACTAGATGCAAAATTTTAGGAGGTTTCTGTCATTTCCTAATTTCTTTTGGAATGAATTAATCTGCGAATAGTTTGTGCTCAATAAAATATGCAGCCCCAGGAGTGGCTGATCTTAATCTGTTTCATTGACATCCTAAATCCAATAAATTGTTTGCCGTTTGAGTTTTACGTGTTGCTTACATTTTTGTCTGTTAAATCCACTGACATGGGATTGTCAGGGGTGTCGAGATTGATTTACGTTTCCTTGTGGTAATAGTCAAAGGAAGGCATTATGGTCCGATCGATTTCTTGCTTGTATTTACCTATTGGCGCTTTTGGTCTGTCTGTTTTGAGGATATCCGGTCCTCCAACAGGCTTCAGTCTCTTTCTTCGCTTATTAAATTCCTTTTATCAAACAATAATTTTTATGTCTGAAAAGGTATTAAACCTTGGCTTGTTTGAAACATTTTGTAATATGCATCCAAACGTGGAGACAGGATAATGTGTCCAGTTGATATATGTATATCATGGGCAGGTCTGCCAAGTCTGGTTTAAACCATTTTTATTTCTGGTGTCTCATATGTAACTTGTATGGAACCAGGGCTTCTTTTGATGGCAGGGATTGAAGACCCTCGTTTTCATTTATCTTTCTGTGAAAGTCTTTTGTGAGCAAGAAACTTTTGAATGATTTGTCCCCTTGCATCTAAGTGATATCTCTCTGTTTTTTTTTTTTTGAACATTTTAATTGCAATTCCTAAAATACAATGTTTATGAATAAACATTGCTAAAGGACATGGAATTTGCTTTAAAAGGTTTGACGAAGTAAATGGAGACATTCAATTATTGAGTTAAAATTCATGAATGAGAATCATGGGATGGTTGCCTTTGATTCTTAGGGTGAATTGGGCACCTGGCTGAGAATTTATTAATAGGTCTGCTAATTGCTACCAGTATTTCAATCATCAATTATTGGTGCTCTGACTCTTAATTCAAACATTTCCATAGGTGAGAAGTTTGATGAAGCCAAAAATGCCGGAGCTGATTTGGTGGGTGGAGAGGACCTGATAGAGCAGATAAAAGGAGGATTCATGGACTTTGATAAATTAATTGCTTCTCCAGACATGATGCCTAAGGTGTAGCTCTGATTGTCTGGTTCTAATGAGCGTCTAAATTTTCTGTGTTTGTGTGCAGAACCTATAAACTGACATGATTTTCAGTCTCAAGGAGTGATCTTTAGAATCGGTCAATACAGTTAATCCGGTCCTCCAATGTAAATTGAAAATAACGATTCATATGCTTGGTGAATATTGTACTGCTCAATAATGTACTTTCTTACATATGTGGCATTAATGCATCCTGAATATATGCTTGTGTAAAATTCATTTTATTGGGTACTTATCTCTTATGGACGTAATGCACACTTTGATGGCATGATATGAGATGCAACCCAATGAGTTTTTGCTTTGCACATTAAAGAGATTTTACCATGTTGCACTGTTGTACTTCGTATTAGATTTTAATGATGTTAATCGTGCTTCAAGATATGAGGGGTTCTTGCTTATGGACTTTACTATGATGAGTTCTTTGCATGCTTTGGTTTTATCACTTGTCCATCCACAAGTATGAATGCGTTTAAGATTTCATTAACGTTGCTATTTATGATGGAAATTCTCCTAACTGATGTTATTGATTGTATCAGGTTGCAAGCCTAGGGAAAATTCTGGGTCCAAGGGGACTGATGCCAAATCCCAAAGCTGGCACTGTGACTGCCAACATCCCTCAGGTGCACTATCAACTTGTTTCTTTCTAGTTCATGGTATGAGAGGTGTATACTTGTTCGGATTCAGTCTAAATTTCCAAGTATTGTTTTTGGGTGATCATTTTCTTGCAAAATAATTACACGATTGCTGGATTCTAAGATTAAAATATTCTATTTTCTTCTTGGCTTTAATATCTTTGAAGTTGTTACGCTTCTGACAAAACAAAAGGTCCTTTTATTTTGCAAAGGCACTTCACTTTGCTGGCTGAAATTCCGTTAATTTCCTTTTATGCAGGCTATATCAGAATTCAAGCAAGGCAAGGTAGAATACAGGGCAGATAAAACTGGAATTGTCCACCTACCTTTTGGAAAAGCTGATTTCTCCGAGGAGGATCTTCTGATAAACTTGGTTGCTGCCGTAGTATGTTCCTCTTCCTCAAGTTGACTCTTTCATTCCATCTCACTCAGAAACTCAGTTCCTTTAACTGTCATGCTTTTACAGAAATCAGTAGAGGCAAACAAACCATCAGGTGCGAAAGGAGTGTACTGGAAAAGTGCACACATATGCTCAGCAATGGGGCCTTCTATCAGATTAAATATCAGGGAGATGTTGGATTATAGGCTTCCCTCAAATCTGTGAAGAACACAGTACACCACTGTAAATCCTTTTTTTGATTCATTACTTAGCTTCTGGCTTGCCTCAAAGATGGTAGTGAAGTTGCTTGCATATAGGGATGAACAGGGAAATGTTCTGGCGGTTTTATCTCTCGTTATAGCCTGCCCCAAAAGTAAGGGACATTGCACACTACGTAGGCTTTGACAATGGCTAAGGATAGACTTGTGCTGCTGTTGTAATAAGACGACATTAATTTTATTATATGTATTTGTTTTTTTTTTATTGTTGATTTTCTGTCTGTTACGTAGCTCTGATATACTTGAGCTGCTCCTGCTATTTTGGTTCTGCACGTTATCACCTTAAGTTGCATTGTGGCCTGCCTCTCCACTTCTCACTGCCTCATTTTCACCGTTATATTAATTTTAAACAGCGGAACTTTAATATCTTATAATATAAAATATGTAAAAATAAATTTAAATTATTAAAAATTTAATCCAAGTGATACTTTTTATTAAAATATTTTTTATATATTTTTTAAATTTTATATAGGATATTAAATCTCAATCTCAACTATTTGAAAATTATTTAACGGTCAAAATATATAAATGATAGAAATGGAGGGAAATAAAGGGTAGGAGAATTGCAAAGGTTTTTTTTCCCCGCCTGTCTACTGCTTACCATGTATACATACAGAACACATTCTCAAAAGTATACTTCTAGTTATATTTACAAGTTACTTTTAACATGTATAGATTATAAAACTTAGACTCTATTAGCTATCCTTTAAAATTTAATAACTTTCAAATTTTAACTCTATTTAAGATATATTATATCTTATAAATGCAGTTAATCATTCATATGAAAACTTTCTCATTTTTGTCTACCCTGTAATCAGGAGGGGAGTAGCTATTATTGCAAAGGATATTTTTTTTTTTTAAAAAAAAACTTAAAAAGGATTCTTTCTAGTGTAAATGTGTTTATAATTGATATTCTTTGTCTGATCTAGAAAAACAATCAAATCTGGTCGTGCCTCAATGCGTTTGCCAAAAATAAAGTTAATTGATTGGAAACAGCAATCAAATAACATAATCGCAGTAACAAAGTTCAAGCAACAAGACTTGGCATAATATTTAAACAGTAACCAGAACCACAGTAGGGAAAAAAGGGATAGTTTCCTTCCCTCTCCCAGAGAAAGAAATAAAAAAAGACCATCTAATGATCAGCATTATGGGTTTTATAAAACATAACCCATATTCCAAGCAATCATTGTATCACAAAAATGCACAAGATTGCCGATCCTATGCCACATTAACAGCATCCTATATATTAACCCTAACTGAGACCTTAATCTAACATAATCTATCCATTATCAAACTAAACCAGACATGGCTCCCTTGTCTTGCACATAGTCCCTACGAATAACATGGCTTCTTATAATATTAAAAAACACCATATCATTCATAAGACATTGTGATTCTGTGCAAAGCAGAGTCCACAAATCTGATTTAATAATAGTGTGGAGGAAAACGCAAAGGCTGTGGCATGAAATGAGGAAGAGGGGGAGGCTGAAAATGGCGGTTGTAAGCATGGTGGTGTCCTCCATGATATGGCAATGGCGTCCCATAAGGCAAAGAAGGCAAAGGCATTATCCCTCCATAAGGGACATGTGCCCTTTCATCCCCTGTTTTCATCCAACAAAGTTCTGCATGTTTCCCATGTTTGGTTATCTTCCTTAATATCTTCTGTGGATCCACTTTCCCTGATATATATATCATCCCTTCTTCTGCATCCAAATCATAACTCACCCCTACGATCACAATCACAATATAATATCAGAAAAAAGAAAAAAAAAACAGACCTTTTTTCGTTTTTAAAACAAGTTCGCACCTTTGATTTTTTTCAATATTTTGCCCATAGTTCTATCCCATCCCTTACACCTAGTGTCCACTTTCAAGCCACAAGTCTGAAGAAAATGAAAGTAAAGATTATATTAGGGAGTAAACCATAACATAATAAGGGCAAGAAGTGGCGCGAAGCTAGGATCTAACCATGTAAGTAGAGCCAAATCCTTCTGAAGAAAACATGGCGAATATGTTTGAGACGAGGAATAAGTTATTGTAAGGTATGGTTTTGGTTTGAACTTTGAGTTCTGCTGGAGGGTCTTAGGGGGAAATGGGACATTTATATAGGATTCTAACTCAATCCTCCCTTCAAATCTTCTGCGTAATCTTCTATATTAAAGCAGAGCCCCAATCATTCTTAATATGGCTTACCACTTGTCGAAATTTTATGGTGCCTCATAGAATTATCACTAAGCTAAGGTATAGGCTTGTAATATTTGAGAAAATCCCCATTTTAAGTACTAATTTCTGATTAAAAAAATATGTATTGATTAATACTATTTATTATTGGTACCATATCCATAATTTTTATTGCATTCATATTCTCACATCTCTATACATATCGTAATTGGTCATATTTGCTAATTCATTGCTCTTTTTGAAACTTTCTTCATTAAGTGGAATGAATAATTATTTAGGTCAAATACTATTAAATGATATATCCCCGTGAATCCGTGATGGCTAAAATTTCTCAATAACCAAATTGCACTTTTTAGAATATTGTTTTCTTTTTTTGTTTAATTTGAGTATTAATATATTATCACTTCAAAAATTATCGACAGTTAATGCATGTAGATTGTGGTAACAGAAAATACCAATATGGTCTCAAATTAATTGTCATACAAAATGCCAAATGACTTCAATCACGTCCACACAAAGAGTAATCTACTCCCACTTCTATCCTTTCCTACTCTATCTGCCCCAAAATGTATGGTGTTCTTCTGGGTTCTCACATATATTTATATTTTTAACAAAGAAAAAAAATCTTCACAGTAAGGGCGAAAATGAAATGTCTTCGTTCTGAAAAAACCTGCAAGTGTTTTTGTCTCAGCCATTTTTTTTGCTCCATTCTTTTATGGCTATAGCTAGCATATGCTCATCCCCAAGCCCAGCCCAACTCTCCCCACCATTTCTCTGTCTTCACTTCTTTCATCCAAGACTCACCATTCTTTGCAACCCTCTTTACCAACTTCTCGTCTTCCTCCAAAATTGGCGGGAATTTGGTTCTGGTGATTCACTGCCCATTGCGGAAGCAGCAGAGGCGATTGCTTTGGCCGGAGCTGCTGGCATGGAGGCAGCCAATGGTGCTGTGTCCGTAGCTTCTGGAACTGGTAAAGTTGGTCATCCTGGGGAAGATGATAATGAAGGGGTTAGTGATGGGAGTGTGGGAATTGAAGTGAGAAGGAAGAGAAGGAGGAAAAGGAGAAAAGGGTTGGGATCTTTGGATGGAGAAGAGTATAAGAGGAACTTCCCGGAGCAGAGGATTTTGGTTGACTCTGTAAAATCTTGGTGTTTGAGTTCAAAAGAGGAGGCAGAGCTTTGTTTGTGTCTCAAGGTAAAGAGATTGTTTATATATGATTTCTTGCAGGTCGAAGATTGCTCATAATAACACTTGTTACTTAAGATAATTGTTTGAGTTAGAATTTGCTTTGCAATCTATATGTCTTCCTTCTGTTTGTTTTGAGTTCAAATATCTAACTGTTCTTTATGTCCATATGATACTTATCATTTTAGCCAAATCAACATGAGACACTTTTTATTGGGACCCACTTTTAGGTTCACCAACATGATTAATTCAGGCCACTATCTCTATATAGATCAAGTGTGCTAAGAATTTTTCAAATATAGTACAAATTCTCTAGCTAAACTTAACTGATTGCTGATAAGAATACAATGCTTTGGTGCCTATTACTAGGAGGGAACAAGGATTGAAAATGCTATGCTAAGAACCACAGAATCCGAAGAGAATCTTTCTATCTCAAGAAAGAAGCCTCTAGGTTTGAGGGAGAGGAATCTGGACAAGGTGTTGTGTAATACAAGAGAGTCAAGAGAAAGAATAGCTCCGCGATACCAAGGACTAGTTGCCTCCATTGCTGCTGA